AATACAGTCTTAAGTTGGTGCTTGCCCAGACAAAATTGGAGAGGTGTGGGGGGCATCAGTGCAGGTTGATCTTCATGTTTTCTCTTTCGTCTTTCCTGAAAGTACATGTGAAAGTCAAAATAGATTTGAACTCCAGTACAGATGCAATTGAAGGAAGTCTCATTGTCCTCAGAAAACTCACTGTTTGGACACTTGGTTCTTCCTTTCTGCATACATAAAAGTTGCTTTTCACACTTCATGCTCAGTACAGAGAGAAAATATGAGTGAAGTTGTATGTGAACTTGGGCGTGTGCAATTCTGCATAGGTCTGATGCACGAGCTATGTTAGGCATTCTTCTTCTGTCTATCATGAACTCCTCAGAGAAATGAATCTCTGAGCAGCTGCAAATGTCCTAGTAATGTAAACAGTGATGCTGAGACTATGGCTGCTGCTGCGATTCCACAACAGAATTTCTTGAGATCAGTAGAACCCTGCAAGTGGTACCTACATCCAGAAAAGGGAAGGAGTTTCAGTCCTTTCATGTTTTTTTTTTTTTTTTTTTAAAGGCCTCAGTTTTAGCCATCTTACCTCTCTTAGTTGTTGAATGTGTTCTCTTGTGAAGACATTTTGTTTTGCTAATATTTTCATCCCACTGTTAAAAACATCTTTCATAATGTCCTGTGTTAGTCATTTGTATATTCGAGTGCTTTTTTTTTTTTTTGGGTGTGGGGGGGCTTGTTTTCTATGTTCAAAAACCAGCAGTTTAAAATGGTGGCCTTAAGTCTTTATATTCTGCTTGTGTGCAGGATCCCACTGAGGCATATCTGGGAGCAATACAGATAAAAATAAATGACAAATGTGCTGGGAACACAAAACGTTGGAAGGTGGTAAAACCTAAATGCTAAGGACAGTGATCTGAATCCTGGAAGTTGAATTATCCCAGTGGGGACCACAGGCTGCAATGATATCTCTTAGAATAGAGAGTTACTTATGAATGCACGAGTCTGACCATTTAGAAGCTGCAATAGGATTGAGGCATTAGACTTTTTGTATTCAATGACTTACCAACAGCTAAAAATATTTCTTTTAATGTATTTATTGATTTATTTGGTATTGATTTCAGGTATCTGTAGCTGGTTCAGAGTTACACCGAACCATATTTTATCCAAGCATATTAGTCTATGCAGGCTGCTGTATCACATCACTAGTCCAGGCCGCTTGCCTTGTGCTAATGATTTGACAAGATTCACATAGGTTAATTGTGTATTTTTATATATTATACACGATTACTGAGTTAAAGGATTAAAAGTGTAATGTCCTTCTTCAAGCTATGTGCTCTACCTAAGAATCACACTGCTGTGGTGCAGATCAGTAGGGAGCAGAAGAGTATTTATATTGTGTGGTTTGATTTGAAGTCGAGGCTTTTCAATTATTTTTTCATGTTATGTCTTATTTTACACTTAAATATATACTTCTGTTTTGTTCTTTGCTTGGAAGATATTGTGTGGTATTTCTAGGAGCTGGATCCTGAAGAAAAGCCTCTCTAGAAAATCTTTATTTAACAAAGATTGAGATGTAGTAGCAATATGGTTATTTGTAAAAGATGCTTTTGTATTCCGCCCCCCACCCCCAATTTTTGCTGAATTAGCATATGTTAGGCTTTGATTTGCACATGTAATTATTATGATGCTAAATTTGCCAATAATTTAAGGTCCTAAATTTGTCTCAAAGGCCTTGATAAGTTTAAAAGGCACTGTTTTCATGTTTGCAAGCAATGAAAAATTAGATCCACTGCTCCATCTGCTGGTGTCCAAGAAAATCCTCAAGAGTTGCTCTTTATTAATAGTCTCTGCACTTCAGCGAAGTTTTGTGAGTAGTGCTCTGACAGAAGATGAATTTAAAAACACCATTTTTCTTTTTTTTCTTTTTTTTTTTTTGATCTATGTTTATGTGGTACTTGTGTTTCTGTAACATCTTGGTGCAGAGCAAAGTGAAAAGAAGCAATTTCCATTAGGATTACTCTTTGAATTGCTAGTAAGAGGGGAAACATTTTGTTCATACTTTGCCTGCTTTTTTATTTGCATTGTTTTCAGCAGACGTAAATTATGGGAAAAAACAATCACATCCATAACTTGTAAGAAAGGGAATGTAAGTGTGATTATTCCTGTCTAGTCTGATTCCTGGTCACTTAGTTGCATCAGGTAATCAGATTTCCACTTCCACACAGAACGCCATGTGGAATATTGTTGACTCTCCACACCATGCATACTGGTGCAGAATATAGTTGGTCCTAAAGAAGGTGCTTAGTATAAGCCTTTCTAGGCTTGGTCATTCAGCCTTCTGCTTTCCTCTCATTTGCTTGGCTTCTTGTAAGTGTTTTATAAACTCACTTCGTTATCGAAAATGTGTTGAGTGTCATGCGAGGTCCCAGACGAAATTTGCAGGATCAGAACTGTAGTAATAAGTTTAGTTGAGTGCTGGTTGCAATGTCCAAGTAATGTCTCCTATTTTGTTAATGGTAGTTCGTATATGGCAGTTTATAGTCTCCCCTGTGATAAGAATCAAAAGCAATGGAAGATCTTAATTCATTGAGATAAATTATTGTTGCAACTAGAATTGTCATTTTTAACTCAATGCTAAGCTTGGTTGCTTTTATGCTATCCTATATATGCAAATAACTGTTCATCTCTGTTTACAGGTAAGTATACAAGCATGTGTTCTGTTTTTGGGAGAAATGTTCTCTGATAGCCATGCTCATAGCCATTTTAATAATATAAAGCAGAAAATTTGACCCATGCATATGCATGAGCCAGTTGTTAGGAATAAACTCATTTTGTCCTCTAGGTAGAGCCTTTTTATTTACAGAGAAAGTTGTTCAGAGCCTACAGCTATTTAGCGTATGTTAAAAATATTTTGCTCATCTACCGCAGTTGTGAAACTACATTACAACGTCCCCTTTCACCATAATGTTATAATGTCTTCTTAAAATGCAAGTAGAAATATTCACAATTTCTAAATGAATATTTTTGTCCTGTGTGTATATATATACATCTCTCTGTATAGACTTGCATGCCTGCAAGTACGCATATACGAACCCAGAAACACTTCGTATCCCAAAGGGATTAAACATAGGGGCAGGGGGGTCGCATGAGACTTTCTGAAGCCTATTTCCAGTAGCTTAGGGCACATCAAAAACTGGGTAAAATGTTAAGTGCGTATGTGAGTTCCTGGGGTCTCAGTTTTTCTATATTATTGCCTGTGGTTTTGCTCTTAGATTGCTGTAAACGAGAACTATTTGGTTAGAGAACAAATGGGACATCCTGCCTTGCCATCAGCTCATTTAATGGATTTTACAGTTATTATGACAACTTGCCTTTGTGCCTCTACCCTTTGTTTTATCATGTACAACTGAAACTTCTGTTTCAGTTGCTGGATCTCAGTGTTGCCTAGCTCGGATCTTAACCAGTCATCAAATGTCACCAATTACTGGCTTTTCTCAAGCTGTTTCTCTTAGTTTAAATGACAAAATTGCTTATTGATTCCTGGGGCTTTTGAATCCCCTTCTGTTGTGGCTTCTTGTGCCCTTCTGTGGCAATCAGTGCATGTTCAGAGTGGAGCTGCACTAGGTTTTTAAAACTTGTAACAAAACAGAAATTGCAGTCTAATGTCTATTCAAAACCAGTGTTTCTGCACTTACTCAGTTCTCTCTTCCCTTATTTATTTTATTAATATAGTATTAGTATTCCTTAAATATGTTCCTTATATATAGTAGTATTCCTTGAATGCTCCAGTCCGATTTTATAAACACACACATGTGATCATTCTCTCCCCACATACACACTGTTTGTAGGTATCTGCTTATTGTAGCTACGTAAAGCATATTAAATTGATTTATGTATTTTTATCACTTGATAGACAAAGATTGTTTAGCTTAAGGACCCCATTTTATCCCAGTGTGCTGAACAGCTGCAGTTCCTGAAGCTGCACTTGGGCATTATACCTACAGCCTTTCTTGTTCTCGTGGTTACGTGTTGTACGTCTTTACTGCTCTCCTTGTGGTCCTGACTGTTGTAGCTCTAGTTCACTGAAACAAGAACAGAAAAAAAGATAGATTTAGTATATGCTTTCTAAACATGACTTTTCCTCTAGTGTATCTACTCTGCTTATCAAAATCAGGTTTTATTGCTTAAATATTTCTAAAAAATGCCGAGTGTTTACTAATTTCAAACTGCAGGAATAATTCTTTCTTATAGGAACAAAAGTAGACTGCAGAGATGTTTCAGAAGAGTGTTGAAAGGAAACCTTAGTGTTCAAAACTAGAAATATGATCATGTATTGGAACAATACATATTTAGAAGTTAGTATTTCCTAGGCGTTTGTATTGGTGCGTACTTTAGCTTGACTGCAGCCCTAGTGTTTTGTCTCCTGTGAGGTTCTTGGGTCAGAGAGGAAATTAAAGGAAATAAAAATCCAGTTCATGAGGAATTTCAGGACGTTGGCATACTTAAATCTTCTGGGGATGCTTAAATCCTGGGTTTTGTTGCAAAAAATCTGACTATTTAATAAGCCAAAATAAAATTTGGCTTTACTCAGGTCATGAAAATGCGGTAGCTGCTTCTTGGAGATTTTCAGGTTACTTACAGTTGACTTGCCCCAAGAACTTAGAGGACATGTGGGTGGTGTGACTGTCTAACAGCTAGCATGCAGATTTTATCGGATTGCCCAGTATAATCTACATTGTATATTATACAATATTGTATATCCCATATATAGATTATGTTTGCAGCTTTTTTTTTTTTTTTTTTTTTTTGACTACTGGCTTTTCAGGACTGCAAGTTTACAGTCTCTTGGATGTTCTAAAGACCCTTCATAATATTTTTACCACAAATTACACCTATACTTAAAAATGCTGTTTATGTCTTGTTTATTTAGAGTGACTTAAAGCTTGCTCACCTAGACTTTAAGGCTTAATCATTCTTATTTCTTTCTTTTTCTCATCCTAGGTTAGTTTATTGGCTTCCAAGAGCTGCACACACTTCAGGCCCTGATGGGGGACTCGGGATCCAGAAGATCAACTCTCGTGTCTCGGTTGCCAATATTCCGCAGAAGCATTAGCCGCAGGCACGACTCTCTCCCGTCCTCACCTTCCTCTGTTAATGCTGTTGGTGTCCACACGTCCTCTCCCTCCAGCACTAACTCCAGCTCAGGGAGCACAGGCAAGCGCCGCAGTATATTCCGTACTCCATCCATTAGCTTCCATAACAGGAAGGGGAGTGAGCAGAAGACTGATTCTGCTAGCGAAAATGTTAACATCTCCAATGGTGCCCAGTCTTCTCTCAGCAGTTTTCAAAAACTGAACCTAGAGGAACACGTTAAAAGCCGAGGGAGGCATTCGGTTAGCTTTGGCAGCTCACGTAACAAGAAGATAACGAGGTCTTTGACAGAGGATTTTGAAAAGGGAAAGGAGCCCTCAACTAATAAGAATGTCTTTATAAATTGTATAAGTTCTGGGAAGAATGAGGGTGATGATTCTGGCTTTGTGGAGGAGCAAAGTCGATACTCCGTCAAGCAATCTACACGAAAACTTCTCCCCAAATCTTTTTCCTCACACTACAAATTTTCCAAGCCAGTTCCTCAGAGTGAGTCGGTCTCAAGCGTGCAGCAGCCTGGCTGCTTGTTGGAGATTAAATCGTACGTGGACAGCGAACCTCTGATGGGGAAGCCCTCCCCTCCATGTTCTGCTGAGACGACAGACTGTGCAGGCAGCTCCCTGCAGTCCCCGCTGCTTTCAACCGACCTCACGACGGCCCAGACGCCCTCGGAGTTTGTATCCCAGACGGAGGACTCTGTTTCGGAAGTGGAAACCCTGCCGGGCAGTGGAAATGCAGTGCTGCTCGCAGAGGATTTTGGCCACAGTGTCTCTACCTCTCAGATCTTCTCTAATCCTGCTGTTGCTGCTCACGTGAGGAAGACGGATCAAGGGGAAAATAGCTGCCAGTGTGCTGGTGCATCTCCTGTGAGTCATGGGAGCTTGTGTAGCACTGAATCTAATACCTTCTTCAAAACCTCTGCTACTAATCACACCCAAGTGTTGTTGCAAGCCAGTGAACTTCCTGCAAAAGATTCCCAGCATATAGGAGAAATTAACTCAGCAAATGCGAGCTTACAGATGTGTGCATTTTATCCCAGGGACCAAGCAGAGATGCTCTCTCCAAAAGCACGGAGGTTAAATGGGGACCAAAATCAAAGAACACCATCTAAGCACATAAGAGAAACAAATCCCGTAACTGAGTCTGTGTCGTGTTCTGAACCTCAGTCCTTTAAAGCACAACAGAGCTATGAAATAAACCATTCTAAAGGTATGTCTTATGGACATGGGGTAGAGGGGCCTTAATTCTTCTGTAGGAGTTGTTCAGTCACAATATTTTTTGTAGTGTTCCTAGTGCTGTAAAATCTGAATTATGTTTTCCCCAAATCAAGTTTAATTCAGAATTATAAGAAGGAGTGAAACAAAAACCCATTTTGTGTTTTAAGCTCGTGTTGGTAGCTATGGTTTTCTGTGATCAAAAATGAATTAAGGGGCATTTTCGCTTCTTGTTGAAGACTGTCCCTGAAATTTTTTGAGACATGCCTCTTTTGGACTCCCACCCAAGGGTTACATTATTTGAGACATAAGCATCACCAGGGAAATAAGCCTCCTTTTATAGGCTGGTCATCAAAGATAACGCAAGTTATTTAGTATTGGTGTGGGTTTCAAAAATTTCTAACTTTGTCTTGCTGTTTTCAAACAGTGTTACAGAAGAAGTTAAAATGAGTGTTACTGTCACAGATAACTGGTTTCCGTTTCCATCTGAAATAAAGCTGTGCAAGTTTTCATTACATAGTCTGTGAAATGGAAATAGTTAATTATGACTGAATATTTATATTGAATCTTTGGTTTAATAAGCATAGTTTGAAGTGAAATAAAAACAAGCTTAGGTGGAAAAGTGGTGTCTAGAAATGACAACCTGGAGAGTTTAAATTGAAAGATGACATGTGACCTTTGAGCGAAGGACACTGTTTAGGTGACTTTTAGCTCTGATAGTTTTTTCTAAAAACAAGCCTAGAGTGATGCACCTTTTGTTTAATCCTGAGCGTGCTTCTGGGTGTACCAAGATTTGTGAGATTTAGCAAAACTGCATTTTTAGTGTTAGCATTAGGAGTGTAAATTTGATGATTTAATATCCTTTTGCTTGCCTTATTCTTCTTTTGCTTGAATATTTAGGTATGTAGTCTGTAGATGCGTGTATTGCTGTATGGAATCCTGCCCTTCGAATTATTTGTCCCTGCACAGGGACAAGGTACCTCATACATCAATGGATACCTCATACATAAATGACAATATGAAGTTAATGCACCAAATGAGCTTTCATTAGAAGATGGCTATTCATTTCAGAGACTTAGTCAAGTGGGGAAAAAAAAAAAAATCTCTCTTTTTTCTGTCCTGAATGCTTTTTTTGGTCTTTCTTGCAAAGGTAGCTCATCAGAATGGGATCATTCTGACTCAGACTTAGAATGGAAATGCAGAATGATATGGGAGAAGGTCTGTGACTTTTAGAAAAGGAATAAAGAGTGCATTGTGAGCTCTTGTGTGAGCAGAGGATATATATTGTATCTGTACATCTGGAAGACAGCGCACAGGAGCCGAATAGAGAGACTTCTGTAAGTAGGGTGTAAATAGTATCACTAGAGTTGATACTGCACTATGTGCAAAGGGTATTCAGTAATATAGGCTATAATTAATTGTATCTGTCATAAACAGACTGTTCTGGACGAATTTTTAGTACATTTAGTTTTCCTAACCAGTGTTTAAGACCAAATGTAAACCCAAAAATATTACTTTTTTTTTTTTTTTTTTCCTTTTTCTTCCCCCATTTGGTAATAGATATTCTCACTTTCACAGCTGGTCTTATTGCAGATTGAATTGTAGATAACACAATGAATTTGACATTAATATATGAGCAGGTATGACAAGGCATATATTTCTTAATATGCATTTAGAAGTTTCTATATGATATAGAATTTTTGAAAAGCCTTAGAAAAATGTCTGTTCTCTCTCCAATTGTAAAGGAAGATAAGATACAAAACCTATTTTTTCCTCTTTTCCAGTGTATGGATTAATGGTGATTGGGAAGTGGGATTCAGCCTGCTGGCTGCAGGAGAGCCCTCATGTGGGCTGACCTAGGATTACCAGGGCTGCACAGAAGCCAAGACCAATGTGTTTGATTGACTTATGCAGTGATACTGTGAGGCTTGGCCCTCCATAATCTGGACTTGCTTTTAGACACAGAATAAGAGTGGTAGTTTCTCTGATGGATTTTACTGGGCAGCAGTTTGGAAG